CCAAGAAAACCCCAAATGGGGTCATGAAGAGTTGGACACGACTGAAAAATGACTACATAGCAACAATCTTCTAGTGTTGTTGTGAGGATCAAACGAGATTGTGCTATAGAAATGCTAGTAATATGATTAATGAAGAGAAGCGCAGCATTCAGGAATAAGGAAATGGCTGGCCAGACTTCCAGAGTATTATGTCCAGTACTAAGCCCCACAGCTCAGGAAGGATAGTCATGTAGCACTTGGGAGTATCTCCAGCAGCTCAAAGGGCAAGTTCCCCAGAGAAAGGCTACCCCAGGATCAAAGTGTCCTTGGGTATGGATGCTCTAAAACCATGGTAGTACTCAGCCAGAGGACATAATTAGTTCAAAATAAAGGGGAAAGGGGAAAAAAAATATTCATTAAGTATCTCCTACATACCAAGATGTTTACAAATATTAACTCATTTAATCCTCAGAACACCCCAAGGGGGTAGGTGCTATTATTATCCCCAATTTTACAGATGAGGAAACTGAGGCAGACAGGAGCTAAATGACTTGGGTCACATAGCTATTAAGTGTCTGAGGTAGGATTTGAACTCAATTTTTCCTGACTCCAGGCCTAGTGCTCTATCCACTATACCACCTAGCTGCCTATAAAACCATATAATGTCACTAACTATGTGACACTGGGCAAGTCACTTAACCCCAATTGCCTCACCAAAAACAAAACAAAACAAAACAAAAACATATAATGAATTGGCTTAGTGAGAAAAGTTTCAACAAATTATAGTTTGTGAAATAGCTGTTTTCCCCCCAAAAGCTAGGACATGCTCTCCAACAAATATATACAACAGACTATGTCAGTGGAAAGAGTGGAAGGATATCGGGAATATATGTGGAGAAGCAGACATGTAGGAAATACACGTGTCCAGGGTACGTGCATTGGGAGGGCAACTGCCTCCTTGGATACTTCAGTGAGGCCTACTGATGTGTTTTCCAGACACATCTAGAGATATCATTGCTCCCACTGGGTCTGCTTCCCTCCGGTCTGGCAGTCCCTCCCTGAAGCTACTTTGCTAGAGGCATGATCTCCACCAAAGTCCACTCTGTGAGAGCTGAAGTTTCCACTGAATGATGCCCTCCTGGACTCCTAGTCTACACCTGATGCTTCTCTGTAGATTGGTCCACTCCCTCCAGCTTCTGGCTTAGCTGAAATTCTCTAATTTTCTTCAAGATAAGAGCAGGCATTGCCATTCTCTTTTAGGAAAAAGCTTCTCTTCAAGCCCCCAAAGTCTTCACTGCTGAAGCTTCGTATCTCCCAGTTGGACATCCTCAGCCCCAGATGCCAGCTGTTGTTTCAGTTGTATCTGATTCTTGGTGACCCCATTTGGATCTTCTTGGCAAAGACACTGGAGTGGTTTGCCATTTCCTTCTCCAGCTCATTTTACATATGAGGAAACTGAGGCAAACAGGGTGAAGTGACTTGCCCAGGGTCACACAACTGGTAAGTGTCTAAAGCCTGATTTGTACTCACAAAGATGAGTCCTCCTGATTCCAAGCCCAATGCTCTATCCACTGCATCACCTAGCTTTAGAATAAAGAGCAGAGGCTGCCCAGCTTGCTAGTGGACTGAGGCTTAGTCTTTTTTGAGGGGTCCTATTTCTGTTCCAGGGGCCCTTGGTCAGAGATCTCACCCCCAATTAGAGTGAGAATTTCATATACATCCCAATTCTAATCTCTGAAGTCAAGATAATTAACAAGGTAACGGTTATTTTCCCAATAACTGCCCAATAGCTCTGGGGTTCTGGGTTCCCCGGTTTCTAACCCTGGCCTCTTCAGTTCTCCCACCCAGATGAGGGGATATCGACTAGGCATGGAGATGACCGCAACCCAGGGGTCCAGGTGATGGTCTCTTCTATCAGACTAATCACACACATTCCAAGCCTGTTCATATGAAGTTAGAGGCTATCCTCAGTTTAATGGCATACCCTTGCATAGATACCAGAACACCCTGAAGGCACTAGATGGAGAAGGGCCTTGGAGCTATGCTTTATGAGAATCAGCTCAAGGAAATAGGGCTGTTTACCCTGGAGAAGAGATTTACGGGAGTCATGATAGATGTCTTCAAGTAGTTGAATAGCTGCCACATAGATGAAGAATTAGCCGTGTTTTCCTTGGCCTTAGATGACAGAATTAGGAGCAACAAGTAGATATCATAAAATGGTGAATTTGGGCCACCTACTAAGGTAATATGTTCCTCTTCCCTGGAGGTCTTCAAGCAAAGGCTGGATAACCACTTACAGGGTATGTTCTAGACTAGCTTCCTGTTCAGGTACAGTTTGGAGTAAATAGGCATGGAGATTCTTTCTAGCTCTGAGATTCTTTAATTCCAGGACATGCCCATTTAATGAATTGGCTTACTGAGAAAAGTTGCAACAAAGCAAAACTTGCAAAACAGCCGTTCCCCCCACCAAAAGCCAACACACCCTCTCCAACAAATACATACAACAGGCAACATCAATGGAAAGAGTGGACAGATATAGGGAACATGCCATTGGTAAGTGATAGTGGCAGGATTCAAACCCAGGCTGCTCCTGAGTCCAGGGCTCCCTTACCCCTTGATTTGTACAAGGTCACACAGGTAGAGAAGGGAATGAAACTAGAATCTGAGCTTCTGGCTCCTAATCTAATTTGCACTAAGGTACAGTTGGGTGACATTATGCTGGACGCAGTGATATGAGGGCACTCGGGTTCAGAGAATGGTTGCCAAGGGGTCTTAACCCTCTTGCTGTTCACAAACTTACTTTGATTATAAAGTCTTGTATGCTACTGTCTCTGTGGAGAGAATTGGATATTCCTAGCTTCCTAGTGTAGTTAGGTGGTACGGTGGATAGAGTGCAGGTTGGGAAGACCTGAATTCAAATCCTACCTCAAATTAGCCGTATGATCCCCTGGGCAAGTCACTTAACTTTCCTATGCCTCAGTTTCCTCATCCATAAAATGGGAATAAAAATAGTATGTGTGTCCCAGGGTTGTTGTGAGAATCAAATGAGATAATGGATGCACAGTGCTTTGTAAGCCTTAAAACTCTAAATAAATGCTAGCTATTATCAGTGTTGTTCCTCCTACCTGCCCCTGTGGTGTCTTGGCTGCCTCCAGCTTCAGTCTTTCGGGTTTTGGTTTGTTTGTTTTGTTTTTTTGGAGGCAATTGGGATTAAGTGACTTGCCCAGGGTCACACAGCTAGTAAGTATCTGAGGTCGGATTTGAACTCAGGTCCTCCTGTCTCCAGAGCCAGTGTTCTATCTACTATGCCACCAAGCTGCCCTTTCTAGATTCAGTCTTAACCCCCACTCATTTCATCTTGGGATGCAGTTCTTATTTATCTACTTGGTTCTCAGAGTTGAATGAATGAATGAATGAGGGCTTATGTGCCAGGCACTGAGCTCTCCTCACATAGGAAACCCTCCCACTCTTCTCTCTCTGCCTTCTGTTTCTTTCTGTAACAGCCCATCTACCCACCACAGGATAGCACCCAAGACTGAGTCAGCTCCTGCCTTCTATCTCCCTCCCATCCACCCTTTCCCAGCCAGTCAACAAGTATTTATTGAAGGCTCCAGTGAGGCTCCAGGCACTATGCTAGGTACTGGGGATAGTAAGACAGATAGGAAACAGCCCTTGACCTCTGGGTGCTTGCATTGTATTGGAGGAGTTAACAAACGCCTACAAAATAAATATTAGATATTTATTTGATATTAATTTGCGGGGTGGGGAAGACTACAGCTAACGAGATCAGGAAAGGCTCCCCATGAGCTGTATTTCAATCATGGCTCTGCTCTGGAGGCCACCCGCCCAGGCTTCCTCAGTCACATGAAGAATGTTAAGTCTCCAGATTGTTTTCCTGGGTCTCCAAGGCTGATAGCTGGGTGGGGCTGCCTGGATGCAGATGTTGAGCCTGTTTGTATTGGGGAACCCTAGAGACTACTTCCATCTAAGCTGCTGTCTCAGAAGCGAGACTAGCTGGGCTTCACTTCAATAACTTCAATAATGTCATGCCACTGGTAGAATGCAGTGGAAGCCTGGAGGGAACCCTGCCCCCCCTGCCCCTTGAAGAAAGAGCACCAATAGGACACTAGATCTGACTCAACCTCAAGGGGCCAAAGTCAAATCCAGGAGACCCTCTGCTTGAGGATCTGATATAAATATAAAATAGTGGCCATTGCGGGGGTCCCACCCCCAGAGAAGCAGGCTCCAAACAAAAGACAGGAGAAGAAAGATGTGGACGGCTCTCTCCAACCCCCTTGCAATGTTCAAACCCATATAAGCTTGGGGTGATTTAGATCATTCCTTAGGATCTGGTCCTCATCTGATACCCATGCAGATCAACTCCAATGTAACAGGCATAGAATAGGTTATTTCACTGAAAATATTCTTGAAATGTGACACTATCATCCCAGACTAATGAAGCAATTCTCCCACATGCTCTCTCCCGCTTCCCTCTCCCCCCACTCTCTGACTCCTTCTCTCTCTCCGTTTCCCTCTTTCTTTCTCATTCCCTACCCCATCCCTCTTTCCTCATTCGGTGCTTTTCCCTTCACTGACCCCACTCTCTTCCCGTTTTCTCTCTCCCCCTCCTACTTTCCCCTGTTCTTTCACCCCTCTCCCCTCTCTCCCTCCCTCTCCTCCACACCTTCCTCCTTCCCTCATTCTCTGCTCCCCTCCCTCTCCCTGCTCCATTTCCTTTCTTCTTCCCTCCCCTTCCCTCTTTCCATCCCTGATCTCCCCAAGGGACCCCATCCCCCTCCAGACCCTCACTCCATTCCCATCCCTGGCCTAGCCCCCAAGCATTCCGGTACCCACTGACACTGCATCTTTAAGAGCCAGCTGAAAGTCAGCTTCCTGGTAATTGGTTGCTTTATTCTAACTAAAAGAGGATGAGATCATCTGCAGCCAATCATGGAGTCGTTGCACCCCAGCTAGAGGCTTACACCTGCCTGGAGAGTCAAGGCAGAGATGCTCCGCTGGGATTCAGGGTCAGGCTGCTTAGAGGGGAAGCAGTAGCAGAGATGACTTCAGCCTGCACGAGCAAAGCTAAGCTTACGATTTGAACAGGTATGGTGCTTGCCCACGTTTCTTCCTTCTGCATGGTGGGGTGGGGCGGGAGGGTGTCCTCCACTTTGACCTAGACACATACATTCCCAAGCCTCCTGACCACCTAGCTTTTGCCCTGTGCATCCCTCCTCATCCCACCTCCTGGGAAGTGGGGGGCTTCAGCAGAGGCACTGTCCCCTGGCAGGCCTTGGCTAGTTGGGTGGGACCTGTCGGCTTAGTCTCCTCATAGGCCCTACTTATTACCATCTTCCATTCAAATACTGAGTCTGGCTTTTCCACAGGAACAGAGCAAGGATGTGCAGGGAGTTTGCAGGCCATCGGATGCTAGCTAGGATGTCAGTGCATTCATCATTAGGCCTAATTACATGGTACAAACAGGTTTCCCAGAGAGGGCTTTGCCTCTCTTAGTTTGGCAAGGTCTTTACCTATAATTGTCTCCCTTCACTCTTTCCCATAATCACTTGGTCTGTTGGGGCTCTGTGACATCCAGAGCATTGGAACTTGGAAGCCGGCTAAGGTCACTTGAGCCTATGGTTGAAGCAGCTGATTCAGAGACCCGGAACTGGGGTTCCCCAGCAAGGCTGCATCGCAGCCCCATCAAAGCCCAGAGTGTCTTTCCCAGAAAACAGCCAAAAGTAATTGCATTTCCCTCTCAGCCAGGGCTTTGGGATAAAGGATGTGCCCTCCCTTCCTCCAGGCTTTCGGGTCATCAGGGTCCCTCTACCCCCAAGTGCTAAGGGTTCAACTCACAGCTGCCTGGGTCTGTGGGTGATTTCCACTCCCTCACCCTCACCTGGCTCAGCTCCATCTTGCTCACTTCCTCTTGGCTAGGAAACCAGGGAAAAGCAGAAGTGGCTTAAAGGTTTGATGGTAGCTTCCCAGAATCTGACAAGACTTAGAGTTGGGAGGGACATCAGAGGCTGTGTTAATAACAATAATAAGGGCTCACATTTATATGACACTTGAAGCTTTGCACAGTGCTTTTTTCACGGCTTGTGTCATTTGAGTATTACCACAATGCTATCACATTGGCATCATTGTTATTCCCTTTTTGCAGTGGAGGAAACAGAGGCTGAGAAAGGTTATGTGACTTGCCCAGGATCATACATACTGATTAGTGTCTCAGGCATAATTCCACTCAGGTCTTTCCTGAATTCAAACCCAGCATCCCACCCACTGCGCCACCCCTTCCAACCTGAAGTTTCCATTTCTCTACTCCCACCCAGGGCCAGCCTTCTGAAAAAAAAATTTTAATTCAATTTATTCAACAAATATTTATTGGAAATAGAGTATTTAATATCATTTAATGAAACCCCCTCAATTAACAAGCAATGAGACTGAGGCCCAGAAATGTTGAGATACAAGTGACTATCACGCAGATAATAAGTATCAGAACTACAATTTGAGCCCAAATCCTCTGACCCAAAATTCACTGTGCTTTCCATTATATGCCTCAAGGGATCATTATATTTGGTTTTGGTGGAATTTGTCTAAAGCAGCTCCAGTCTTCCATTTTTGTTCCTACAACTCCTCCCCCTGAACCTTCAGGATTTCAGAAGTCCCTATTCTTCCCCTCTATCAAAACTATCAGGAGAAGATGTGATAGTCTTTCATAAATTAGTATGAATTCAAATCTATTTGCTCTTTCAGAAGCATCCATATTGTGTGTCTTCTTTCTAGCTGTAAAATGAAAGACTGTCTACCATTAAAAGCGTTTGAGGAATCACCCACAAGGCAAGGAGGTCTTTCAGGAAGTCTCAGAAATTATGCAGTACGGATGGCTGAGCTTTAGGGTTGAACCTTCTTTAAGTATTGGTCAGCACACTGTCCCTATCGGGCTCCGGTTCAACCAGAGATCCTGTATCTAGAACTGCACCTTCCCCAGCAAGTCCTGCCTGACCCCCTCCTTCATCCCAGTCCCCGGAAGCTTCCTCAGCATCCTCTTGTATACAAAGGCCACAGCAAGATTATTTTAATGCTTAGTAAACCATGTGGAGTACACTGATCAGGGCCTTTTATGAAAGACCCTTTGGTGAATGATAGTTCTGAATTTAAAGAGGAATTGAAATGGGAGAGGGGGGAGATGATGAGGAGGGACAGCGCTTGGCAGGAAGGTAGGAGAGAACAGGGCTCCCAGGCCTAGCAGGCTTTAGATGCCTGTCTGTACCCATTCTAGGCTGCAATGGAGGTTAGGAGCACTCTACATGTGATGGCGCCATGAGTCAAGTGTCCCTGAAACCCACCTCGAGCCTGGAAACTGAGTCTCGCTCGCGAGCACTCTCCCAGGCGCAAGTATATCTGGAGCAGATTGGGAACCACACGTCCCCCGAGAGCCCTGATGTTCACGGGACAGGCAAGCGTGATTACCTGGTGGATGCGGCCAAGCAGATCCGCCTGGCGCTTGAGCGGGACGTGAGCGAGGACTATGAGGCAGCTTTCAACCACTATAAAAATGGGGTCGATGTGCTACTCAATGGAGTGCAAGGTACTGGGGAGAATGAGGGAGGGGGCGCTAGGCAACTCGGGAGGGAGAAGGGGACTCTCTGAATTTTCTGGTGAGAGGGGAGCAATAGTTTACATGTATTATATTACAAATGTACATGAAAACATTTCACGGTTACAAAGTACTTTCACATAAAAAGAAGGTATTATCTTTTTTAAAAAAAAACACCCTTTTAGTTTACTTTTAAAAACTTAATAAGCATTTATTTTCTTTACTTCCTTCTTTATCCCTCAAATGAAATAAAAACCAAAATACATTCCTTGTAACAAATATGCATAGTCAAGCAAAACGAACTGCTGCATTGGCCTTTTCCAAAAATGCACATCTCATTCTGCATCTCTGGTTCATCACGTCTCCATCTGGAAGTGGGTATCCTGCTTCTTCACGTTTTCCTGGAATTGTTGTTGGTCATTGTATTGGTTTTAGTTCTTAGTCTTTCAAAGTTGTTTGTCTTTACAAGGATTTTGTTTAAACAGACACACATATACATACATATATATGTGTATGTATTTGTGTTTACACATGTGTGTATATATATATATACATATACCATACATACATACATGTACATACAGATATTTCGATACAGATATTTCTCTCGGTTCTGCTCATTTCGCTCTATATCAGTTCATACAAACCTTCCCAGGTTTCTCCAAAACCGTCCCTTTCACCTTCTCCTACGGCACAATAATATGCCATTTCATTAATATACAAAAATTTGTTCAGCCACTCCCCAGTTGATGGGCACCCCCTTAGTTTCTCTTTCTTTGCCACTACAAAAAGAACTGCCATGGATATTTTTGTACCCAAGGATCCTTTTCTCTTAAGCCTACTAGCAGTATCATTAGGTCAAAGAGTATATACACTTTAGTGATTTAGGAAGCATAGTTCCAAATTGCTTTCCAGAATGGCTATACCAATTCACAGCTCCACCAATAATACGTTAACGTACAAGAAGGTATTATTATCTCCTTTTTGTAGATTAGAAAACTGAGGCTTAGAGAAGATAAGTCACTTGCCCAAGTCACTCATCTAGTGTATGGCAGAACCAGGAAAGACTTCAACCAAAGTTTTCTGACTTCTAGTTTCCTTGTTCCACTACAGAATGGTGTTTGAAAGGAATAAGGTTAAGGTTAAAGGTAAACTGAATAAATTCATTTCTGGGAGAAAGCAACCTTCTGACCATTCTCAATGGAAAACTAGTCATGGAGGCAAATCTTTCCTCTTCCCCCTTTCCAAAAGAGCTGTTTCAAAACAAGAGCTTAGAAACACTTTGGGTTAATTTTCTTACCTTATTAGAATAAGCTTTAGCCCAACACTCCAAACTCAGGGCCTTTATAGAGACTGGGTTTAATCCTAGAGTTGGCCTCCCAAGTCATATCTTTCTGGTTCATTTTGCTCTCACTCAGAATTTCCTCTGGGAAATCTGTGAAAATTGCTTGTACAGCTTATGTTTAAGTCTTCTCAGACTTGGGTAAAAGAATCCCTAGCCCTGTGCAAGCACTCAGAGTAACAATGCATATATTGAGTACAAGTCACTTCTGCAGACTCATACACACCCTGTAGTTTGCATTCCCCTGGGAAAGGGAATAAAGTTAGGTTTTCCCAAAAAAAATCCCATTGACATTTCATTGAGTCCCACTTTCACTCCAGTTCCATATAAGTAATCAGCTTTAAGATCCTATCTTGAGGGTTTGTACTTCCCTTGTAAGGGAAATGTACCTAGGCTCCCTAGACAGGTAACCCCTAACACAGTGAATCTATGCAAAGATCCATGTAAGTATCCACCCCCTTAGGATACTACCCTAAAGATTCAGTGTCCCCCAGAGAAGGATAACAAACTTGGTTTTGCTAGAGAAGATAAGTCATTTACCCAGGTCACTTATCTAGTGAATGGCAGAACCAGGAAAGACTTCAACCCGAGTTTTCTGACTCCTAGTTTCCTCATTCCACTACAGAAAAGTGTTTGAAGGCAGTGAGGTTCACTTCCCATTAGACCTTTATTGTCAAATAACTCATGATAGTAAGGGAAGGGAAAGTCCAGATTTTTTTGCTTCCTTCTATTGGCTTTAATCCTTTACTATTTGTCCAGCTATGGGCATGGTGTTCACTTGCCCAGGCTTCTTCCCTCAAAGAGACAAGCATTGTCCAAATACTCCACTGCCCTTATTCCTCTAAAAATCTGTCCTAGAGCTCTTGTACTTAGGATTACTAGCGAGATATCCCAAGGCTGCCCAAGAACTCTGCTTTTTCTAGAAGGGAGAGGCTCAGGAACCTCTCTATGTTTTGGCTGTATGGTTCTTCTTTCCTGGGACTGCATCATTCCAAGCATGTATAATTGCCATGTTTCCTCAGTAGGGCTTGGGCCAGGTACTCAGAATCTAAGGTTTCAAGGCTTAATAACTCTTGATAGTCTCCTAGCACCTAAGCTAATGCTCTCTTTGGAGCGGAGCTAGAGATGACTTCTTGGTTCTTTGGGAAGGGGTTAAGGGATAGGGATTAGGCAGAGGTATGTTGGTAAATATTTAACAACTGGCTCTCCAAAAAAATAAAAGTGTGGATGATGTATTTTAAAGTTTAATTTGCATTATTAACATTTTCTCCATTACTTTTTTAAGTCTAGACAATCATCAAAACCTATATCAAGCCCTGATTTGTGGCATTTCACTGATTTCCAAGGTATAAATGCTCACACATTTAACAATCTGCTCCAGTGAAAGCCAGTTCAAGCTGACTCTAGCACATCCCTATTGTGAGGCCATCACCTAGGTGCCCCAAAGGGACCACTCTCAGACCTCTGGTCTCAGAAAAAGGAGCAATTCTATCATTAAGACTTCTTCTTATAGGCCTAGGGCAGAGAGGTTACTGTTCACTAAATCATCCCCTAAAGATGAAATATAATCAAAATCTCAAACAAAAGTTCACTTCTCTGTAAACTCAAAAAGTTAATTGGGGACTCCACTAATCCCTACTCTGGAGGCTCCCTGAACAAACACACACATTTCCGTACTCCGCTCTGCTCTCCAATCTGTTGCTATCTGTTGCATTTTTTTCTTTTCTTGCCAATGGGTGTCCCTAACCCTTCCCAGCTCTTCTGATGATGATGGGTTCTGACAGCGGGTGAGATGGAGAGCTCTGAGGTTGACCATCAGAAGCCAACATGTAGAATACAACTTCTCCCCATTTGCGGTATAAATCTTCCAGACTTTAGATGTGAAACACAGAGAGTAGCAACAACACCAAGGGCTAAGACATCTTACAATACCCTACAAAAATCCTCCCCAGCCTCCCCAACTCACTCGTTCTTCAGAGGTCAGACCTGGTAGGGGATTCCATCCTTGGAGGGTTGAGAGCCCAGGGGGTGATCCATGTCTTTCCATCAGTTGATCCCAACAAAGAGCGGCATGAGGCGGTGAAGAGGAAAATCACCAAGTACCTGAGGCGGGCAGAAGAGATCTTCAACTGCCATCTGCAGAAGACACTGGGGAACGGGACCAGCCCTGGCACGGTAAGGAGATAAGCTGCCTCTGGGATTCCTTAAAGCAATGACCTCATGTCACATGCGAGAAGAAATGGCAATGATCGCTAACATAGAGCGCTTTGGGGTTTACAAAGTGCTTTACATATATTGTCTCATTTGACAACCCTATGAGATATGTGCTAGTGTTATTCTCACTTTACAGATGAGGAAACTGAGGTGTGGAGAGGTTAAGTAACTTACCTTCACATAGCTACTAAGTATTATAGGCAAGATTAGAACTCAGTTCTTCCAGACTCTAAATCCAGCTCTCTATCCAGTATGCCACCCATTTGCCTAATTACTCTAAAATAACTTTATATATTCTCCCAATATAATCCTTGTGTCAGAGTCATACATTAAAGCCACTTGTTCACTTTTGGGGGGGGTTTCTCACTTCTCTGGGCTCAAAGCTCACATCCTAGGAACCCTGGAAAATGTATGTGTGGTGGCTCTCAGTAAACAAAGACAGAATTCTCACAGTTGCTTAGAAGACTGTTTTATTAAAAAGAGAGAAAAAACATAAAACCAGAGACCCTCAAATAGGCAAGCTATCACTGTGGTACAGTGGATAGAGTTCTGGCCCTGGAGTCAGGAGGACCTGAGTTCAAATCTAATCTCAGACACTTCTTAGCTATATGACCTGGGGAAGTCTCTTAACCCTGTTTTGCCTGTGTTTCCTCATCTGTAAAATGAGCTGGAGAAGGAAATGGCAAATGGATCCAGGATCTCTGCCGAGGGGTCACAAAGAGTCAGACAGAACTGAAAAGACTGAACAACACCATTAATCCTGAAGATACATGTAAATTCCCCAAAAGCAGTTGTAGATCTAAACATAAAGGCTCTTTTGATGGAAGTTGAAAGGACCTGAGTTTGAATCCCATCTCTGTCACATGTTTGACCTTGGAAGTCACTTTGCTGCTCTGGGCTTGTTTCATCATTTAGAAAATGTAGAAGTTGAATCAGGTGACGTCGAAGGTCCCAATCTGTGCTCCCAAGGCCCTATCTTTGCCCACTGTTCTCTGCTAGTTGGAAGAGTGAAGGTTGAGGTAATTTTTGTTCTCCCCCTCCAGCTTTCTTCTCTTCTTCATGGTGCTTCCCCAGTGAATCCTTTAGGACCTGGAGGGAAATTCAAAGATCATCTAATCCAGCCCCCTATTTATATATGTCAGAAAAACCCCAGCTCAGCTCCATACTCCATAGTTTTTTTGGGCAAAGTGAAAACAAACCTCAGCTGTTAGCCAATATTTTGGCATCATTTCTCCTGGTGAAAAATGAAGGTAAACCCTCCAGAGGCATATTTCTTCCTTGGGATCCCCACAGCTTTACTCTTGTCTGGTTGTTTTTTTCTTCAGTCTCCAGTTCAACTCACCTCATGCATTCCCTGTAGAGTATACCATTCATTCTCTACAGCGTCTCACTGGGACACCATAGGAAAAGAGACACAGCTAAGCCATCAAGGGACCCAGAAACTAAGGGCCTGGCTAGGTTTAAAAAAAAAAAAAGGAGCCTGCAGTTAGTAGACAGGCAAGAAGGTGTTGTGAGTCCAGCCCCCTCCTCCCCTCTCCATCTCAGCAAAATGAAGGGCTTGGTGACTTGAGAGAGACGGAAATGTGGACATGAAGACAGACACAGAGCCTCTGCCCTGCTGGCTTCTTTTAGGTCTCAGCTAAAACCCTGCCTTGCCTGCAAGAAGCCTTACCAGATTCTTCTTAATCTGGTGCCTTCCCTCTGAAATTGCCCTGTCTATTGCTTGTGGGTACGCTCAGCTGTTTGCACGTTGTCTCTCCTGTTAGACTGCAAGCTCCTTGAGGGCAGGGCCTATTTTTGCCTTCCTTTGTATCCCCCATGCTTAGCACAGTGCCAAATGACAGATAAGTGCTTGTGGGTGGCTGACTGACTCTCTTCCAGGGGTAAGCACACTGCATACATCAGTATCCCAGGTTGGAAACTTTCAGCTCAGCAGCATGGGCAACTTCCCACGATGCCTGGTCCCTAACACCGGGACCTTCTCATCTCAGAGAAGGAAGGCTGTAGGCAAGGGGCCTTTAAAGAAGGGGCTTTTGTAGGTATCCTACATGGAGGACAGCATAAAGAGCGGATAGAGTTAGGGGCACCTCTCAGCGGTCATCCAAGGCAGCTATCTCTATTGTCTTAAAAATGTGTGGCTCTCAAGCTAAAAGGGACCTCAAAAGCCATAGGCTCCATCTTCCTCATTTTATAGTTGATAAAACGGAGGCCTAGAGAAGCTAAATTACTTGCTCAAGGTCACATGAGTAGTGAGCATCGGAGGCAGGATTTGAACCTAGGTCCATCTGATTCCAGAGCCAGTGTTCTTTCCATTGTACCAGTCATCCTCCAGGACCAACCCACCAGGCCACCAAACAAATGCCCTATTCTTTCATCCATTACATATTTATTGAATTCCTACTATGTGTAAGGCACTGTACTGGTCTCTGAAACAAACCCCAGAGTAGGTGGGTATAGGTGGAGAGTCATGTTTCAATGGCAGTCCCTGAAGTCTCTAAAACTCTTCTGCCTCCAGCTTCAATTCAATTAAAGCATTTATTAAGTGCCTACTATGTGCAAGGCACTGTGTGGGACACAAGGTATACAAAGAACTTATCATGTCTTCCTGGGAGGACAGCACATAAACACAGAAGTAAATACGAAAGAATTTGGAAGTGGGTGGGTAGAAAGCTCTGACAAATGGGGAGACTGGGCAGGTCCTCATGCAGGAGGTGGAATCTTAGTTCATCCTAGAAGGGAAGAAAGGATTCCAAAAAGCAGAGGTGAGGATAGAGGGTGTTCCAGGCATGGGGGACAGCCTGCACTAAGGCCCAGAAGTGGGAGATGAATGTTATAAACAGGGAACAGCAGGAAGGTCAACCTGACTGGAATGTACAATTTGTGAGGGGGAGTAACAGAGTAAATCTGCAAAGATAGACTGGAGCCACACCGTGGAGGGCTCTAAATGCCAAACAGAAGAATTTGTATTTTGTCCTAGAGGCAATAGGGAGCCATCAAAGCTTCTTGAGCAGAGGAGCGACCTAGTCAGACCTATGCTTGAGATCCTCACATGGTAGAGAAGGATAGCCACATAGAGTTAAGGTCGCAGTAACTTCTAGTCTAGGGAAACTTTCTGAGGACACAGAAGTGAGGCCATAGCCCTGTCACTCAGGCTCATGGCCTCATGTCTCCCCATCTCTCATTTCCCCACGTAGGGCTTCAGCAGTCTGAGGCTGCGGCCCATCCGTACCCTGAGCTCGGCAGTGGAGAACCTGAGGTGCTGTAAGGTAGTGGGGGTCATTGAAAAGGTAAGTGGGTTGTTCCTCTTTTGAGAAACTTCTTCTTGAAGGTGGGGGAAGAGGCCATTGGGAAGAAGGCAGTTCTTTGGTTAAAAGCAGTTTCTCATCCCCAGGAGGAGACCAGAGCAAAGTCACCCTAAGGAGAGAGACTAGATGGAGGCCAGATTCCCCTCCAGACCTTCTGGGGGTCCTATCCCAAAGAGACACTTCTTTTTAGACTCTCTCCCATTCACTTCAAAGAAGGAAGAATACGAGAGTAGCCAACAGACAATAGCCACTCCACAGCCCTTCATTTCAGACACACGGAGCAACATGCTCCCACCGAGAAGTCAAGCAGAAACTAGAGTAGATGCTGTTTGTGCCGAGGAAATCCTGCCAATTTTCACTTCAATAATCTGCAGGCTGGCTTCCTCCCACTTCCCACAGCCACCCATCACCTCCCTCAGGGGCTTGGCCGAGGTTTCCTAGCCAAGAAGAAGGCAGGAGACTTTATAGTCCTGGATGCTCTCCCCTCTGGAGAGGATGGAGCCAGTTCCCCACTATCGAGCTTGTGGATTATCCAGGCCCTTCTCTACCTCTCCTCTCCCACTACCAGCCGTTTGACCATTTTCTCTCCAGGGACTGGGCAGGGAGAGAGCAGGAGATGAAATTCCAAACACTCCCTTTGGCTATTTGTTAGAATTGGTTGGGGAGGAGGAGGAACAGGACAAAACTCTCAGTTCAAAGGAGATTTTTGGATCATCCATCAGTTAAATTCCTCCATGTTTTTTCCAGTACCCTGATACCATGGATAATAGAGACTTAGTTATCCTATCAACTGTCCAAAGTACAATGTAGGCCGCCGAGCAGTGGAACACAGCGTACTATCCTTTACATACAAGCATTGGAACACAGTGTACTATCCTTTACATACAAGCAGTGGAACACAGTGCACTATCCTTTACATACAAAGATGATGTCCTAGGGAAAACAACTAGATATGGTGGAAAGAAGACTGGATGGTGGGGAGGAGTGGAAGGGGGTCAGAAAACCTGGGTTATAACCCTGGATCTGCCATTAACAAGCTTTGTGACCTTGGAGAAATCATCTCACTCCTCTGGTTCTTAGTTTTAGGGGACCATAGGCTTGACATGAGTCAGCAGTATAGAGTGCTAGCCAAAAAGATCCAGTGGGAACTTGGGCTTCATTGAGAGGATTCCAAGGCCTAGGAGGTGATGGTCTCATTGTACTCTGCCCTTGTCATAGCACATCTAGAATATTGTGTTTTCTTCTGGGCACCATAGTTTATGGTGATAGTGATATTATTTATTTGTTTATATTGATAAAGCTGGAGAACATTCAGAGGAAGACAACCAGGGTGGTGAAAGGCCTTGAGTTCATGCCAAATGAGGGTTGGTTAAAGCAATGGGACATGTTTCAACTAGAAAAGAGAAGATTCGGGGAATATGATAGCTTTGTTTAAGTATTTGAAGGACTGGCATGAGGAAGAGGGATTAGATTTGTTCAGTTTGGCCCCACAGGGCAGAACCGGGAAGAATGGGTATAAATTGAGGACAGATTTAGGCTTGACTTCAGGAAGAACTTCCTAGCAATTAGAGCTATCTCAATGTGGAATAAGTTGCCTCCAGAGGTGGTGGGTTCCTCCTCCTTGAACATCTCTGGGCAAAACCTGAAAGACTGCCTATGACACATGTTACAGTGGGAATGCCTTTCAAGTTGGATTATATGGCTAATGAGACCATTTTTACCTCTAAAATCTATGATTCTGTGACTCAGTTCTTTCATCTGTCTAATGAAGGGATTGGCTTAGGGGAACTCTGAGGTTTCTTCCAGTTCTCACAGTCTACAATTCTCTACTAACTCACCATCAGTAGAATGTTGGTTTTTTGGTTTGGTTTTTTTTTTTTTTGACAGGGTTATCAGAAGAATGCTATAGACATGATATGCCAGGATTTGATGTTTGACCTCATGTGAGATACTTGTTGATAAGATGGAAACATTTGGTCTAGATGATGGTTCAGTTAGATGGATTTAGAACTAATGGAATGACCAGGTCCAAAGGGTCATGATTAATGAACTGATGTCAAACAGGATGGAGGGCTTCAGTGCAATGATCCTGAGGTCTGACCTTGGCCTTGGGCCAGTCAACATATTGATTAGTAACATGTGTGAAGGCCTAGGTTTGTCACATTCACAAATGACAATCAAGGGAGTAATGCAAAGAAAATGTATCTCCCCCTCCCGCAACATTGAAAGACTGCTTGGTGGTGGAGCCCACAGAGTCTGGGGGCATCTCAAGGTTACTGCTGGCCAAGGCAGGTGGTATGGGGTGCCCTCTTCTATAAATCCTCACCCACTTGTAATTTGAAGGAAGATGATGGTAGTTGGTTCTTTGTGTACCAGAACTGTCTGGCATGCTTTTATTTGTATTTCCAGTGTTAAACATGGTGCCTATGCCACAGTGAGAACTTAATAAATCCCCTATTCATCTCTCTCTCTCTCCATCTACCTCCTATCTACCTCTCTATCTATTAACACATCTTTTTATATCTACCTATCTTTCTAACTTTCTATCTAGCACTATCTGTAATAATGATAAGGAAGCCACAATGAGGGGTATTTTAAAAAAAGTGGAGGGAGAAATTGTCATATAAACACCAGCGAAGAATCCAAAAAAAATAAACACAGCAATATTCGTCCCCATCCCAGGTCCAGGCTGCTTTGGAAATGTATACTACCATATCTTTGGGCTTTTGATTTATTCTGTTATTAATTTCTCTGCTTAAAACTATTTCTGCTTATCAACTAGGGCTGGCTTGGGATTACTATCATAAGATGCTTTGAAGTGTTTATGATTTCCATAAAGTGTTTATGTTTATGAAAGTGCCATCTTTCCATGATGGTCCTCTGCCATCTCCTCAAACCTCATGCTCAGGTGGGATGTGTTGCTGCTTTCTACCTGGACTCACATTTTCCCCTAAACCTCACTCTCCAATGATAACATTAACCACAAAATGAAAGTTAACAGACAATAATCTTCTTTATGTAAAGAAGAGAATAAACAATAGCAATGAAAGAACAGAGAGCATAAACAGAGGGGTAAAGTTTATGAATCCATGTGGCCTGCACTGAGTACTGCTAATTGCAGCAGAAATTGTCTTTTATTGATTTAGGATCATTCCCCTTATGGGGAAGAGGGTAAGGCAAAAACTTTGGGGAATTGATCAATTAATGGAAATTGCTTGTTTTCCTGACCTGGAGTCATGGGAGAAGAAAATTGTATCCGAGGGGTCACTTAGATCATCTCACCAATCACAGTCTGCATCAATCCAGTAGTTTATTCGTTGGCTACAGCAGCAAAAACAATGACCACTGGTCTTAGTCTTCCTCCAGAGAGGAAGAGAAGGGCAGCATAAATCTGGGGTCCACATGGTTCAAAGATAGAGAACAAACTACTGAATTCTCACTCTCAACTCAGTTCAACCTCTTCCACCATCTTTCTTCCAGAAATTTTCAAACAGCCCTTCCTAGAAATCCCAGTTCCAGACAGTCAACTAACATTTATTAAGCCCATACTATCTATCAGGTACTGGGCTATGTACTATGTAAGTTGCTTTACAAAGAAAAGCGAAAACATATTTGTTACCTTTGAGGAGCCCACATTCTAATCAGAAGACATGTAAATAACCAGGTACATAAAAGATATATTTTTATATGTCTTCTTTTTAGAAGATGGAAGATTATTATCTCAACAGTAAGGGAGATTGAGGAAAGCCTCTTGCAGAAGTTAGGATTTAAGCTGAGTCTTGAAGGAAGGGAAGCCATGAGGTAAAGGTGGGGAGGGAGAGCATTCCAAGCTTGGGGGACAGCCAGTCCAAAAGCACGGAATGTCATTGTGTGGGAGGAACAATAGCAAGAAGGCTGGTGTGGCTGGATGAGTAAATGGAGACCAGTACAGAGTAAAAGGCTAGAAATGTAGAAAGGGGTCAGGTTGTGAAGGGCTTTAAAAGCCAAATGGAGGATTTTATATTTGATCCTGGAGACAATAGGAGCCATTGGATTTTATTGAGTAGGAGGGTCAGACCTGCCCTTTAGGAAGATCACTTTGTTAGCTGAATCTAAGAAAGACTAGAAAAGGGAAAGACATGTGTCAAGGTGAACAACTAGAAGGTTATTGACTTCTGTCTAGGCAGGAGGTGATGAAGGCCTGCACCAGGGGAGTAGTTGTACAACTGGAGAGAAAATGATATATAAGTGAGGTTGTTGGTGGTGGTGGTGGTAGTGGTGGTGTTATTGTGAAGACAGAGCCAAAAAGACTAGACAACAGATTGGATATATGCTATTGTTTGTACTTCACTCTTGAAGAGGACTATGACATCAGGAAATTGTGATGCCACGACTTGCAAGTGAATTGGATTTAAATGAGGGAGGGCTATGCAAAGTCACTTTCTCCCCTGGAGCCATCTGGGTCCAGTGGAAAGATATTGATCAAGACGACTAGAGATGACCCCAGTAGGATATATGGGGTGAGTGTAAGTGAGGAGATTAGGATGACAGAGATCATAAGCCTGGATGATTAGGAGAATGGTGGTGTCCTCTCTCTCTTTCTGTCTCTCTCTCTCTCTCTCTCTCTCTCTCTCTATATATATATATACACACACACACACACACACACATACATAGATACACAGATACATACATATATATACATACATACATATATATATAATAGGGAAATTCAGAAAAGGGAAGTTTATAGGGTGAGGTGTGGAAGATAATGAGTTCTATTTTAGATATGTGAAAATATCTGTGGGACATCCCATTAGAATTCTCCAAAAGGCAGTTGTTGATGGAAAAACAAAAGCTCAGGAAAGAGGTTAGGGCTGGGTATATAGATCGGGGAATCATCTATACACAAATGATAATTGAACCCATTGGAGCTGATGAGATCACCAATTGAGACAAGATTAAAGGAGAAGAGAAAATGACCCAGGACAGGGCCTTGGGAC